CTAGGATACCTAAGTTACAGACTTCTAGACAAACTTGTGAAGATTGAAGGTGTTCGTGGATTACCCAAGCTGAAAGTCAAACCAACCATATGTGGTGCATGTCAAGCAGGAAAGCAAACCAAATCCTCTCATCCAGCGCAACACACCATAAACACAAGTCACTGCTTGGAACTGATCCACATGGATCTCATCGGTCCAGCTCAAACAGAAAGTGTTGGAGGTAAGAAATACATACTAGTTTGCGTAGATGATTATTCTCGTTTTTCTTGGGTTACCTTTCTCAGGGACAAATCTGAAACCCTCGAAGCCTTCAAAACTTTGGCATTAAAACTCCAAAAAGAAAGAAATGAGCCCATCATTCGAATCCGAAGTGATCACGGACGAGAATTCAACAACAATCTGTTCGATACCTTCTGCAACCAAACAGGAATCACACATGAATACTCAGCTCCGAAAACACCTCAACAAAACGGAGTTGTAGAACGGAAGAACCGCACAATTCAAGAAATGGGACGAGTTCTGCTCAATGCCAAAGGACTACCTCAAAAATTTTGGGCAGAAGCTGTGAACACTGCATGTCACATCATCAATCGGGTCTATCTACGCCCAGGCACGAATCAGACTCCGTATACATTATGGAAAGGTAAGAAACCAAACATTAAATATTTTCACGTTTTCGGATCATGTTGTTTTATCTTGAAGGATCGAAACCCTGTCGCAAAGTTTGAAACAAAAAGCGATGAAGGCATCTTCCTCGGCTATTCAACGAACAGCAGGGCATATCCTGTATACAACAAAGTTACCAAAACCATTATGGAGTCCACAAATGTTGTAATCGATGATCAACCGAGTGATATTATCACAACGTCTCAGCCTGGACCAGTGACAGAACCTGACACAAGTTGTCCTGAACCTAATCTAGAGTCTCCTATGCCATCTCCCATGTCAACTCAACCAGAGCAAGAAACTGAGTCTGAGTCTGAATCTGACACTGATCATGGTAACGTTGATATCCCTACTCGCATCCAGAAAGCTCATCCAATACAAAATGTAATTGGAGATCCCAGTTCCGGCGTAAAAACCAGAGGTAAACCGAAACGTGATTACCTTCAATTAGCGGGATATTCTTGTTATACTTCACAGATCGAACCGAAGAATGTCAAAGAAGCTCTAACAGACGAACACTGGATCAAGGCCATGCAAGAAGAACTGGGGCAGTTCGAACGAAATAAGGTATGGTCTCTAATTCCCAAACCTGACAATGTCAATGTTGTAGGTACCAAATGGATCTTTCGCAACAAAACCGATGCAGCTGGCAACATCGCTAGAAATAAAGCGCGACTTGTAGCCCAAGGCTACTCCCAAATTGAAGGAGTCGACTACGACGAAACTTTTGCCCCTGTTGCAAGGCTAGAATCAATACGACTACTCCTATCAATTGCCTGTACCCTAAAATTCAAGTTGTTTCAGATGGACGTTAAAACAGCCTTCTTAAATGGATATCTCTCAGAAGACATATACGTTGCTCAGCCAAAAGGGTTTGAAGATCCACATCATCCAGACTATGTCTACAAATTACAAAAAGCTCTCTATGGCTTAAAACAGGCCCCAAGAGCCTGGTATGAAAGACTTACTCAATATCTTCTTCAGAACAACTACAAAAGAGGAGGATCAGACAAAACGTTATTTATAAAACGATCAGGTAAACACATAACAATTGCTCAGGTGTATGTAGATGATATCGTTTTTGGATCCACACAACCAGGAGAGACAGACCAGCTAGTCAAGGTAATGCAACAAGAGTTTGAAATGAGCATGATAGGCGAACTAACCTATTTTCTTGGACTACAAGTAAGTCAAACTAAAGAAGGGATCTTTATTTCGCAAGAAAAATATGCGAAAAATCTTCTATCCAAATTTGGGCTTGAATCTGCAAAAGATGTCCGCACTCCTATCTCTACATCTTCAAAATTGTTCAAAGATGAAAAAGGAACATCTATAGACTCTACTATGTACAGAAGTATGATAGGCAGCCTACTATACTTAACAGCCAGTCGACTAGATATTATGGTAAGTGTTGGTATGTGTGCACGCTATCAAGCCGATCCAAAAGAGTCACACCTAAAGGCGGTAAAGCGTATTATAAAATACGTTAAAGGTACGATAAATTATGGTATTTGGTACTCGAACGATACTAATCTGAATCTTGCAGGATACAGTGATGCTGACTGGGCAGGAAATGCTGACGACAGAAAAAGTACATCAGGCGGATGTTTTTTTATCGGAAAAAATCTAGTCGCCTGGCTAAGTAAAAAGCAGAACTCGATTTCACTCAGCACAGCCGAAGCTGAGTATATAGCGGCGGGTAGTTGTTGTACACAATTACTCTGGATGCGTCAGATGTTAACTAACTATGGTATCGAACAACAAAGTATGACATTGTTCTGTGACAACACCAGCGCAATCAACATCTCAAAAAATCCAGTCCAACACTCCAGGACGAAACACATAGACATTCGACACCACTTTATTCGTGAACTAGTCGAAGAGAAAGAAATTATCTTGGAATATACTCCAACAGATAAAAATCTTGCAGATCTATTCACCAAGCCGTTAGACAAATCAAGATTTGAACTGCTTAGAGCAGCCCTTGGTGTTTGCAATCCTACAGCTTAATCATCAACAACGGTACAACAGATAATCTTTAATTATTTTTTTTAACGTAGTTGTTGTTTAATTTTTTGTTTGCAGGAAAATTCTAAAACTCTCCAACTTAGTTTTAATTCTTCTCGCCCATATACCTTATTTTCTTAACCGGCTCGGCTACCATATTTATCTATATATTAATTCCACCATTACATAATATATTGAAATATTAATTTCAAACAACTTCCACCACTCTCTCCTAGTATGACTCTACTACTACCCCTACAAACTAGTCACATCACTCTTCCCATCCCTGTGCCCACCTCACATGATTCTGTTCCCATTATCTCTGTGCCCGTGGGCAAATCTTCCCGAAAAGGGAAAGAAAAAATTACTATTTCAGGTACAACCGAGAAAAGAAAAATTGGAGCATTGGAGAATGTTGTCTACTTGTCTGATTCCAAGCAATCAAAAAGAGGGTCCACATTGCCACCCAGAATAACAAGGTCCAGATCAGTTTCAAGCCCAGTACCAAGTCCGGCCCCTGCACCAGTAGCTGCTACTGCCCGCTCTGGTTCAAAGATGAAACAACCTAAGAAGAAATATCATCCTATTTTACTGTCTCCTGATTTGATGTCTGACTGGAATGTTCATGCCACTAGGGATTTTATTCTGGAGAAATCAATCAATGTGGAGGAATTGACAAAAAATGCAACATTGTGCCTATTTTGCGAGATCAATTCCTGCTTGCCTCACTTGTTCATATTGGTCCATATTCCAGATGGCTCACTGCTGAGTTCTACACAAATTTAACATTGGATACGTTTTCGGAGGGGTCACCGTGATTTCAACAAGTTTTTATTCGGGATAAATGGTATCCCTTAAGTCCGGCAGCGATTAATTCCTATTTGGGTACTCCAAATCATCAAGCTGCTCCTGACCCGAGTCCAAATCTCCTAGCCGCTGCTCTAACTCACAACAAGTTCGTCACTTGGCCAAACACCGGACTTGAAAGTTTAAAACTCACCACGGTCTACTCTGTTCTGTTACGGCTAGCCTCAACAAATTGGATGCCGGCTGTTCGTCATCATCTTGTGTCTGACCAGCTTGCTGCCCTTCTCTACAAGATCAGGAACCGGCTCCCACTCAATCTTGGAGAAATCATCTTTGGCCATCTTGCTCAATTTGTGCGACATAGGGAACCTAAGGTACACTTTCTAGTCTCATTTTTGGACTTCTACAGGAACACGGGTTCAAGCCCTACACGGATGAGGAGGTGATTACTAATGCCTCAGTCTATAAATATGATGATCGGTTGACAAATAAGGATCACTATGATGATAGAGCTATGCTTTTGATCACTCCCGGCGCACCAACTGCCACGCCCTCTGTGTCTGCCCCTGCATCATCAGCTGACACTGCCTCTGCACCGAATCCCCGTCCTACGACAGCTATAAATATCAAGGAACCTCCGACGCTCATGGATCGCAGTCAAATTGTTCTCACTCTTCAAGCGTCAATTGCTCAAGTCCGCACCTCGGTTGCTTCTCAACAAATAACCATTGATGGCTTAGAACAGTTGTTGAGTGCTCAGTTGGAGGAAATAGCCAGAATGGAGGCTATCTATACTCGGATTCGATCTAACCCTGGCGCTGACACTGGTTCTATTTCTGAGAGTGATGAATCTGAGTCGGGCACCCCGTCTGCAAGTTAATCCAATCCACTAAAATGATGTTCACCGGTTTGTTTGTCATTTATTTGGAAAAAACAAAGGGGGAGTATTGGAGAAAGGGGGAGTATTTTGGAATGTTTTGGAATGTTTGGATATTTGGTAAGTTTTATGGTTTTTGGTATATTTTGGTATGGATGTTAATCCCTGGTTCGGATGGTATATTAATAATTTGGTACTATATATATTTTTGGTATGACTATGAATTAATTAAGTATGAAAGTATGAATGTATTGGTATATTTGGTATGTTGACTGCATGGTATGAATTGGTTTTATTTGGAATGCATATGAAGAAAGGAAAGCTCCAAGTTAGGGGGAGTAATTCAAATTTCAGTACGGAAAGCGTGACATATATGGTATGTTTGATACAACACTATTTCGTGCATGATTCATTTATTAATTGGATGAAGCATGTGAGTCAACATCAACCAAGGTCCAAAATAAAATTCCGCACACAAATAAGCCTTGGTCAGGTCCTAAAAGATTTAAAATTGCATATTTAATTTTCTTTATATGTTCAGTACGTATGCTATGGGATATTAATAAAATATTTGAAATATTTGTTTTTTTTCCCAAAGTATAATGATACTATTGTTTTACCAAATAAATTGCCAAAGGGGGAGATTGTAAGTGTACAAAATAGTACACATTAGATTGGCTAATTTATTAGTTTATTTTATTAATATGTAATGTTAATTAGCATGAATTGTAATTAGTATTTTGGACCAAGCTAAAATGTGTGGTGGAGATTTATTGTTAATGAATTGGACAAAGAAACAAGTCTGAAGATCTCAAATTAAAGAATGAATGGTTGAGAAGAATTCAAGCCACATATGAAGCTACAATCAAGGCTTGGTGGAATGAGAGTTACGCACAGTATATAAGGAAGGGAAACGAAAGAGGAAGCTGCCAATTATGAAATTCTGATCTCATCTCTAAGCTTCCTACATTACTGCTTTAATATTGATTATATTAATTGTGATTTAAACCTGTACTACAAATCAGTACCTGTGACAGCTGAAGTGCTACACAAAAGATGGTTATGGCATGCACGGTTCAGTCCTGAGTATGTGTTTTAGAAGAGTTGTAGTGGTAAAGGCTGTGAGCCGTGTAGTTACCTCTTGTAATACTCTGTGGTGAACATCTAGTGGATTGGGAAGACGTGGGTTGCCCCGCAGACGTAGGAGAAGGAGCTCCGAACTGCGTAACAATTCTACTGTGTCTTTACTTTATTTACGCTTTCAATTTCGTTATTTATACGTTGATTAAATTGGTTTAATTAAACAGCGAAATTGTCTCGCAACATAAAATCAAGTAGAATCCTTAGTGTTAAATTGATTTCAAGATACACGGGCTTTTTCATATATATATATATATATATATATATATATATATATATTGCACTCACATGCGAATGCTTCGCCCAGGCGCGAAATAGGAATTGATTCTTTCCGTCCACGTGTCCAGATCTAATGGATGAGAAACACTGATTTAAAAAAAAAAAAGTGCGGTGGCATTTTCGTAAATAATTGAACATCGAAATGCAATTAAAATGTATTACAAGTGCATGTAAAATGTATTATAGGTGCAAGTAAAAATTTACACTGAGCATCAATACTAAGTGCACCTATAGTTATAAGTAGTTGCACCTATAGTTCTAAGTAGTTGCACAAATAGTTATAAGTAGTTGCACCTAGGTGCATGAATGTTTGCGGGTGGTTTTCAGGGGTATTACTACCCTCTGAACTCAGATCAATGAATGTTAACAAGACAAAATTACATGCACTAATAGGTGAAAGTAGGTGCACCTATAGTTATAAGTAGTTGCACCTATAGTTATAAATAGTTGAACCTATAGTTATAACTTATAAGCAGTGCACCTAGGTGTATGAATGTTTGCGGGAAGTGAATGTTAACAAGGCAAAATTACATGCACTTATAGGTGAAAGTAGGTGCACTTGTAAGTGATTTTACTTGCACTTCGATGTTCAATTATTTACGAAAATGCCACCGCATTTTTTCTTAATCTATTAGATCTAGACATGTGTTGCGCGCGAATCCGTTTGCATATTCCCTCCTGAGCACTTATTCGCACCTGAGTGCATCCCTATATATATATATATATATATATATATATATATATATATATATATATATATATAGGGTCCGGATCCGGTGAGGACCTATGCTTAGGTGAGGACGTGAGGACTAATCCAGAGCATCCGCTGGACGTGATCTAAAGGCTATAATTAACAGCCCAACTAAATAACGCTACTAGTTATTTTAATAGAACATGGGCATTATTGTAAACTCACTACAATGCCAACCACATCCAAAATAACTGCCGCATCTAATTATACAAATTAGAAACCCCAGGCCGGCCAGATACACGAATCACCCACACGGCAAAGCACAAGAAACCATGAATCAGACTATCCAATTCCGGCGACGGGCAGGCATAGGGCGCACTATGGGAATTGGTATGTTTTCTTCCATGATTAAGGGTGATTCTAAAGAATACAGTATCGTAATCGTTAATTCACTTGTAAATGAAGCAGTATTCCCCCGAAGAAGGGGTTAGAATACAGTGAAACTATAGCGATATTATTATGCAACGCATCCAATCATAGATTGCATCAGGGAACACTGCTTACGGTGATCATGGCGGCTACTATTACAGAGGAATTCTAGCATGGCTGATATGCAACACAAGCATACATACAAAGCATCAGGGAATAATGCTTATGCGGTGGGTGATCATGCATCAGGGATTCAAACGAAATAAGGTTCATTATCCAAGGTATTGAGAGCCACGCGGCATGGACTTTGCAACGTAGATACTAATACGGTGCAACGCAAGAGTTCTAGGAATGCAACATACCAGTGGGAAATGAGCACCAAGACCTGAAAAATGGGGAACAAACCACAAAACATCACGAAAGGCGTTTCAACACCACCTTCTAACCAAAATACATCATCCCCCTGTGTTGTTCCAGTACCATTAAATGTGTACAACTCGAATCTGAACTTAATTGTGACTGCAGGTGAGGACGCACACAACGAGGAAGGTAGCCCGAGTACACAACCCACCCATGTTCAACAATTTATTGCACCAATGCGACACGAATTCATACACTTCAGCCTCAATGAACACACAAGAACACTGAAGCTAGAGGGATCAAAGCCAGAGCGTATTTGCCGCAAATGTAATCAGTTAGGATGGCATGAAAGTCGTAATTGCCCAAATGTAAAATGAGTACAAATCTATGTAATGGTGAAGACCACTTCGATTTATTCGTTTCATGAACATCGTAATGTTTTATTTTCCCAAATGGTTGTGTCATAGATGATTCTAAAACTAAAAGGTGATGCAAAACATTATTCACCTCCAGACACCAAAAGCACAATATAATAATTACCACCCACCACGTAACAAATGCACGCCCTAGGAATAATATTGGTAACCTTTTCCCAAAACAAGTTAAACACCTGAAATACCATGTTGTGCAACAAAGAAAAACATCAAGTGCTCTGAGAAATAAATTGCAGCCCAACATCGAGTGCATCTCAACGACCCAGATCAACCGTTAGATTAGGTCTAAAGGCTAGGATTACCCTACTAAAAAAAAGGCGAAATTCTACCATTAAATCACCATGGCAATTACTATAAAAACCGAAACAAGAGCACTGAATGGTTATCTCCAAGGAAGACACGGAAACTTCACATACATCGTCCATCGACTAAACAACGCAACTACCCCCTGACATCAATTCTGTGATCTTGCACCGTGTGAGTACTGCCATGGAGATGCAAACAGGTACGTATTATCCCGTATTTATGCGCGGTATAACTAAACACAATATCGTGAATTAAATTGCCTACCTGAGAAAATCAGACATCATGACGGAATACTGAACGCATGTTCAAACCAACCCAGATCGGTAATCAGAGACAGAAACTGTCTCTATAGTTTATGGCTAACTGTGCACCAGTAATCTGGGTCATAGGGAGAAGGGCAGCAGACCAAAAATTTAAACCCTAGTTGAAAACATACAACAACCCAGGGATCATCACGCTAGGGATTACGCACGATAAGTTGAAATTATTCAAGTAGACTACCCTAATATAGACGCTAATTCATGCAGGTGAGGCAGAAGGCAATGGGATCAGTGCCCCAGCATGCGAATCGGAGATTTACCCACAAACAACACAGTACTACACCCCGGAATGCGAGAGCACACTCAAGCCCTTTGAAGGGCAAACTTTTGCCACCGTAGCGGATGGAATTGATTTCTACAAGCAATATGCTGGCGTGGTGGGATTTGATGTAAGACAAACCACAATGAAGAGAAATAGAGAGGGTAAAATTAGACTAAAATATTTGGTATGCAACCGTGAAGGGTATAAGAATGATGACAACCCACCCACAGACCGACACGAGGAAGGAGACAACAACCCACCAACACAAAAGAAGCGCAGGCTAACAAATAGGGTAGGGTGCAAGGCAAGAATGGTGATGATAAGAAAATCGACAGGGAAAATTACAGTCTCCATCTTTGACGAGCAACATAACCATAGATTATGTTCAGAGATTTCAAAACAATTCCTAAAAGTCAACCGTAATCTAGACATAGGACACCAAATGTTCCTAGTTAACTGCATGAAGGCCAATATTGGACCCATAAAGTCGCATCGGCTGTGCAAAGAGATGGCTGGGAGCTTCGCAGACGTGGGAGCAACTAGTGTTGATTTTCACAATTTCATACGAGACTGGCAAGCACACATCAATGAACCTGATGCACAACTGCTAATAGACAAATTCATCAAGAAGAAACAGGCATGCCCAGGATTTTATTTTGATTACGATATTGACGAACAGCAACACCTAAACCGTGTATTCTGGGCAGACCCAACGGCACGACGGAGTTACACCTACTTTGGGGATGTAGTCTCATTCGACGCTACATACAGTACAAACGGGTGAGTGCATACATGTTACTAATAATGTCCAAATTTAATCCTCGTATCATGCATTACACAATACTCAGGTGTGCCCAAAGATGCAACACCGACACCTGACTAACATACATACATTTCTACACAGGTACAAATTAGTGTTCGTCCCATTCACAAGAGTAGATAACCACAAACGATGCATTACATTTGCAGCAGGGTTGCTAACAAAGGAAGATATACAATCATACGAGTGGCTGTTAGTAAATTCTAAAAAGGCAATGGGGAACGCACCAAACTACATCATAACAGACCAAGACCCAGCTATAAAGGCCGCAGTGGGGAACGTATTTCCAGCAACACGATACCATTTTTGCATGTGGCATATAATGACAAAAGTGGGAGAGAAGGTAGGGCCTGTATTGGCAAAGGATTTGGACTTCCGTAGCAAATTGAACACCATTGTTTGGAATGAAGGGATAAGCCCAAATGAATTTGAAGTGAAGTGGCAGGGACTGATGGAGGAGTATGGATTAGTGGAGTCAAAATGGTTCTGCCAAATGTTTGAGTTACGGTCGTTATGGATCCCAGCTTATTTTCAAGATCTCGTTATGAGTGGATTAGTGCGAACCACGTCCCGTTCGGAAGGAGAGAACAGTATGTTTGGAAGATTCTT